GAATATTATTGGGCAACTTGAGAGGGTAGTCTTATACCTCCATGCTCACGAAATCAATAATTAAAATTAGTATTTCATTGAGACGAATAATTCGAAGCGTTGTTATTGTTGGCTGCGTAAAATGGACATGTCAAGGAAGGATGAGTATAATTTTGGTGGTACTGGTGATAAGAGAGGGGCATAAACTTGTAATGAGTTGAAATTGCTGATTAAATAAATAAATAAATATTGCACCTACAGCTGATAAAAAGCGCTCGGACTTTTCAGTATAGCAGTAACAATGAGCGTTTCTCAATGTTACTCGAGTTTTTGAATTATTCTTTCCATAGTTCGAAGCACCAGATAAAAGTGCTCCATTNAAAACTGTTTGTCAAATTTCGCAACAGCTCAATCACGCTTCGAGTTGTGCGAACTCCTCAAACTTTTCACTATAACATGAGCTTTCCTATTTGTTGTTTTTTTCGGAGGGTAGAAGTATCCGATTTTCATGTATAAAAAAACAATCACTGTGAAATTTCAACGAAAAATATTGCAATTGGAGCTGACGCTCAGTGCTCGAACCTTGTAAAATTTCTTGAAACAGCTCATGCTGTCTGTAATTATGAACAGTTGATTTGCATGCCACATAAAGGAGTAAAGATAATGGCATACACTTTTTTTCGAAAAGTGGACGTTCATCAGGAGGTTCATAAAATGTATTGGTATAGATGATAATCAAGTTTATTGATGCAGTCAGTCATTGAACACTATGAAAGCACTGCATGTGTAGCTTGCTTGAGGTGAGTTCGTCCAGCAATATTTGTGGCTGAAATTCTGCCTGGAGTGATATTTAACCGACCTGAATGGAAATCGATTCGTAGTTCAGAAAGCCATGCCCTATGTTGAATTTCATATCAGTAACCCGTTTCACCTGTCTGAGAAATTTGTTTTGTCGACATCGTATGGTAGCAATGATGCTGCATATTTTCGTCATGAGCTGATCTAGTGATCAGTTTTTGTTTATTCATTTTTTAAGTTTGTAAGTATCATGAAGTAAAAATCACGTACACGAATGAAACTGAGTATATGATGTGAGGATTAACCAAATATTTCTTCTGTACCAGGGTTTTTTAACCGGAGATGCACGCGTGGTGCGAAATGGCATGCTGTGAGGTGCGGTGAGAGGGGATGCGAGACAAGGTTTCATTTTTCATACATT